AACAGTTGGCCATCTGTGGATGGAGTGATGCACACTAATGAAACATGGAATGATGACTTCGAATGTGACTTGTCGATTACATGAACGATTTGGCTTGGTGATTTACTGCGTACGTCTATCAGTTCACCCGCCAAAATATTGAGGCGGGAATGTTGGTCGTTTGCTATTCAGACGTATCATCTGAAATTCACTCTCATAGTTTCAATAAGTAGAAAAGAGATCCATCCCTCACAGATCTGTTCATGGACACCTAATCGATTCTGTACATTGAACGAACCAACAGTTCAACTTCACAGTCATCCACAGATTACTCTACAATTTATGATTGATTCCCATCCAGACATTGATGAATACAAAACAAGCAGCTCAGGGAAGATGCTCCCTCTGGTGAATTAATTTTCATCCGTAGCTGCACAGTCGCATTTATGTGCAACCCCCTTTTCATGAAGGACATTGGTAACTTAAGTGATGATGAGTTGTCACAAACAAAGTTGCTATTATGAGTCAATAAATAAAAGAAGTCCACAGGAATGGTTGAATAAAATACCCTGTACGAATAGCTCCTGTGTATAGAACTGGGTCAGTAAGCCTTCAGCAATGCAGAAGACAATAAATCATAATGCAATTTTCAGGATTTTCCGAAGAAGACTTCACAAGAAATTTTCAGCGGATGTGAAATTACGCAGAGGTACAAACCCACAAACATGCAACGATCGCAGACGACCAGTTAATTACTAGTTAGTTGCCACTCACCTTGTGCATCACACATTCGGATGCTCATGACAGCTAGTAGGCTGAGTAAAACGACACACTGTTGCATTTCCATTATCCAATACTGCACTCTGTCAACTTCTACTCTCACACACCTTACTCAAACAAACACTGTTCTATCGCGATGTATCGCTTCTTTTCGGGAACTTCAATTCTTATTCCGCGGCGTTACCCACCGCACGCGTTTCCCTCTCAAGTGTTGATCCACATCATACAGATTAGAAGATTTGGCGATTTAGACCCCTTTCTACTGATGTATACGAAATATGGAGATGCATGCACGCATATTGAGGGATACACTGTACTCAGGCAAAATGAGAATTTATATGAAATTGCTTGGTGGCAGTTCGCGTCTATTTCTTAATAAGATAGCTTCCATATTGTAACGTTAAATCATACATTGTACATATTTTCAGTGAATGAACACATCACGTCATCGGTTCGGTTGTCGCTCAAGTGGACTAAAAACAAATTACGAATGTAGGTGTACTGTTGAGAGAATGGCATTCAAGCTCAAGCTCATTGAAATCAACACTGAAGAGACCATAAACAAAAGATGAGACAATCCACTGCTCATCAACTGATCACGTACACGAAGCAGAGCGAAATCTGCCTGTCTATTTCAGACAGGTCAATAGATATCGAGCAGGTACTCAACACAGTTATTTTAATCAGACATTATCACACTAGTCAATATATCAGCCATAAATGGCAATGTGGAAGAGACGAAGGAGGACAGCATTTAGTAGAGTATTAATCAGAATAATTCACAACAAGTCTTCAGCGGATGTGAAATATGCAGACTAATAAACACAGAAATAAGTGAGAAATACAGACGACTAGTTACTTACGAGTTGGTTGTCACTCAACTTGTGCATCGCACATGTGGATGCCCATGACAGCGAGTAGGCTGAGTAAATCGACACAATGTTGCATGTGCATTCTTCAATACTGCACTCTGTCAACTTCCACTCTCACACCTAACTAAAACCAACATTCACGTTTAAAACCAACTCGCCATCACCAAATATATCCACCAAACACACACACAAAAATAAGATTGTGCATGTGCGTGACTTCCTTATACGTGCTGAGCACTATTTGCTTACCAGTCTCAAACAGTGTTTTATGAATGGCTATTCAGGTCATGTGTCACATGCTGTATACATAATTCATTGATAACTGATCACATGTTGCTTAGTGTCTGGCGTGATTTGATTCACTCGTCACATTGTGTGTAGTTCACTGAAGCATTTCGGTGAAGTACCACCTTTCTGTTCAGACATTTATGGTTACACTAACTGTTCTATCGCGGTGTTTCGCTTCTTCCTGCGAAGTTCAATTGTTATTCCGCAGCGTTACCGCCCTAACGCGCTTCCCTCTCAAGTGTGGATCCATATAATGCAGATTGGCAGATTTGGTGTTTTAGACACATATGTGCTGATGTACACGAAATATGGACCTGCATGCACGCATATTGAAGGATGGGCTGTACGTAGGCAAAATGACACTTCACATGAAATTGCTTGGTGGCAGTTCACGTCTCTTTCTCAATAAGACAAATTCCATGTAGCTACGTTTCATTATACATTGTAAATTTAGTCACTGAAAGAATATATCACGTCATCGGTTCGGTTGTCACTCATGTGAACTTACAACAGTTTAAGAAGGCAGGTGTAGTGTTGAGAGAACGGCATTCAAGCTCAAGCTCATTGAAATCTACTCTGAAGTGACCAGAAACAAAACATGAGACAATCCACTGCTCATCGACTGATCATGTACACGAAGAAGAGCGAAATCTGCCTGTCTATTTCATTTATTTTTTTATTTTTATTTTTATTTACAGCTTGATTCCACACCGTATTTTCAGCACAAGTGTGGAATTTTCAGCATGGATATCGGTAGCCCAAATTCAGGCCAACCATAGATATCGGGTGTGCGCCGGCAGGGGATCGAACCCCGGACCATGTGCATGGTAGGCGAGAGTCCTAACCACTGTGCCACCGACGCATGTACATGTCAATGCATATCGAAGAAGTACTCCACACAATTAATTTAATCAGACACAGTCATACTCGTAGATATATTAACAACAAAATGCAAAGCGTACAACGATGGAAAATAAAAAACACACACAGAAGTGTAGATGAACACAAATATTATTATTTCAAAAATTACATTACACAGATACACACAGTCTTCATTATTTCATGACAACAAACACAATTAATTAGGCAGATAGGAGAGAGAATGAGCGAGAGATATCAAGTGAAGAAAAAAATTGAAAGACAAATCAATATCAACCAACCGAATTAGTCTCAAGAAAAAACATGTATACAAGGTATTCGAAATATGAGAAATCATCCAGTGGAAACATTACATCTGTCCGAGTGTTTTCTTGTCCAGACATTTACCATAGAAACATCTGTTGCTGCAGCACTGGTCATTCATCTGACACGGTGAACTCATCTGGAGACAATTATGGATGCATGTTCCAGATCTAAGAGTGGTCATCTTGCATTCATATGGTGGACAACACTTCTTCGTCATACTTGCAGTACAAAATTGTCCGAGGGCGATGCACTCACCTGGAATGTAAATGCAGTGAAATAGTGAGATAACACTTGCTTCTACAGTCATCAGCGAGAATAGAATAGAAGAGAATATTGTGTGCAGAACAGACAGCATGTTCCTAGTGATGACGATGTCATGTGGTCGTGTTAGTGTGTGTGTGTCGAGTGGGCGAACACGCTCACTCGATATCAGTCTGATCCAGAAAATGACTGACAATCAATTTCAACTTGATTCGATAACCAGTGAAATTGAAGGAACAGATGAAATAGTGGAAAGCTTCTGTTATCAATATCTAAATGATGCGTGGATGTCAAGATTCACTCTGATATTTGACCAACCAGAGATACGCTGACGTCCCAACAAATCTCATCACCTGACACCCACATTGACGGATTCCAACAGTCCGAATTCTCCAAAATTAGTAGTCTTCAAAGATACGACGACATAATGCGTGAGAGAAAATGCGAAATGTCAACTATTCTCACATCTCCAAATTGAAGCGCTCATGAGAATACATGCCAGTTAAGACATTCCGATATCCTAATTGTCTCTCCCCTCTTCGTGTATACACAAAGTGGAAACTGTTTACTACAAGTCGTCACATTCACCTAGACGTAGCTGACAAATCCGAAGTCAAAGACCTGAAATGCACTGAAGATTGTAGATTGTAGTGAATAATCCACTCATATAAAGACAGAGGGATCCTTCTGCATGATGACAATATGCTACATCGGATAATGGATTCGTGAGTAAACCAAAGTGAAGAAAAGTTATCTCTGATTTCCATTAACTACCTAGATCAATCGACATAAATGAGGACGTCTCGTGAGGCAACTAGCACATAGTGACAAACTGATTGTGTAATCAGTGTCCTAATGGATGCAGCTGTGCACTGTCGTCGACACGTCGCAAGCACGCAGCCACTTCGCCCAAATGAACGAGTGTTCATCATCTCACTGAAATCCCTAAGTATTTGCATGTTCGTCTAATTATATAGTACACTACATGACTTACTTTCATCTCCACACTTTCCGTCTATACACAGCTTGCTGCAACACTCTTCATTCTTCTGACACTTTTCTTTCAATTTATAACACGACTTCACGCACGTCCCAGATCTGATACCCGTCATTTGACACTCGTTCGGTGGACAACACTGCTTCGCCAAGCTTGCAGCACAAAATTGTCCGAGTTGGATGCAGTCGCCTTGGTCACCTGGAATGTGGATTCAGACAGCAGAACCATCATCGTGATAATCACAATTACACAAATAAAATAGGTTGGTATATGATGTGAGTGGCAACTGTGATGACGGGAATGAAATGAAATGAGACTGTGCTCGAGCTATATCGATATAATGAGGATTTAGTTGACAAGGTGTGTCTTAAACTACTTGGATAAGAACACCAAGTTTTAGGCTCACATGTGCAATATTTCAAGAAGTCCCTCATAACACGCACGAAAACTGACATCCACACAACTCTGATACATAAATATATATATATACATGGCTTCGCCAAAAACCGATGGAAATCTCACTCTTTGACAGCATTCACAAGAAACCTTCAACGGACACGAAGTCATACAAACCAACGAACCCACAAATATATGAGGATTACAGACGACCAGTTACTTACTAGTTAGTTGTCACTCACCTTGTGCATTGCACATGTGGATGCTCACGACAGCAAGTAGGCTGAGTAAAACGACACACTGTTGCATGTGCATTCTGCAATACTGCACTCTGTCAACTTCTACTCTCACAACTAACTCAAATCAACACTCACTTTTATACCCAACTCGCCATCACAAAATATATTCACCAAATACACATGCACACACACACACACACTCAGAAACAACAATATGAATGTGCGTGATTTTCTAACACTCTCTTGGGATTACTTGAAGGTCAACGAACCACCCACTCACTCACACACACACAGACACATTCAAAATCTCTTATCCGACTGAGCCATGAGGTCACACATCATGCGGTCTATCACACAAGTGACAAGTCACATGTGGTTAGTTTCGTTTCGGATGTGTTTACATTCGCGTTCGAAATGTATTATTTTGTGTATTTCAGAGAGTCACTTCAATGGATGAATCAGCACAACTTTTATTGCACAATGCATCGAATTACCTGAATTAACCGTAAACGCCTCTGACTATTTTGTGATTTGTGTGTACTGACCATGTAAACCATATACAAGATTGTCAAGGCTGCACAGATCGCAAACGAAATGAAAAGATACGGAATTCAAGTACTGGGGATATGTGAAGGCAGATGGAACGAGAATGGACTCACCAAATTGTCAACGGGTGAGTCAGTGATCTACTCCGGTCGTCCAGAAGATAACTACATACACACCGAGGGCGTGGCTATCATGATGTCACCAACGGCAACGAAGGCCTTGATGCAATGGGAGGCGATCTCGCCCAGGATAATGACCGCCAGATTAAACTCCAAAGGAAGGAAAGTGTCAATTATACAATGCTATGCACCAACAAACAACGCCGATCTCGAGAAGAAAGAGGAATTCTACAGACAACTACTGGCAATAATGGACAATACTCCAGTCGGCGACATTAAAATACTAATGGGAAACATGAACGCCAAATTGGGACCAGACAACACAGGAAGGGAACTCATCGTGAGTAGAGAAGCTCTCGGAGAAATGAATGAAAACGGAGAACTCTTCGCCGACTTCTGCGCCTTCAATGAACTAGTGATTGGTGGAATTGTGTACAAACACAAGGATATCCACAAGGCTACATGGGTGTCACCAGATGGGCGAACCAAAAACCAAATCGACTTCATCTCAATGCTGCTCTAGGAAGTGGAGGCGCAGCCTACTGCACACGAAAGTAAGAAGAGGAGCAGACATTGGCCCAGACCACTACCTCGTACAAGGGACAATCCAAATCAAATTAAAAGCTGTCAGCGAAGCAGGAGCTGAAGATAGACAACACTCAAAAACTGAAGGACCAGGACACAAAGGACATCTTCACTACAAGCATTAAGGACAAAGCCGAGACACAAATCAACACTGGTGAAGAGGTCAGCGTCAGAAAGCACTGGAACAACTTGAAAACAGTGTGGAGTCAAACCTGCATGGAAGTTCTAGGCAGAAAGAAGAGACAGGACAAACAGTGGCTCACTACGAACACTTGGAGACTGATAGAAGAGAGAGGGATGGTGAAACAAAAGATTCTCCAGTGCACCGATGAGCAACAAAAACAGGATTTGAATGCAAGCTACAATACACTGAACAAAAGAGTAAAGAAGAGTGCCAGAGAAGACAAAAGAAAATATTATGAAACCATGGAAAGTGAAGCAGAACAAGCTGCAGGCAAAGGAGACCTCGCAGCCCTCTACCAAACAACTAAGTACCTATCGGGCAAAAGTTTGACACAAATTAAGCCAGTGGAGGATGACAATGGAAAGTCACTCACCAAAGAAGTGGAGCAAAGGAAACACTGGGCTGAACACTTCAAAAGACTCCTAAATCGACCACCACCTACAACGCGCCCAACAATACCAACGACGGAGACAGAGCTACCAGTGAACATCAAACCCCTGACGAAATCAGAAGTCCTGCTGGCAATCAAGATGCTAAACCTGGAAAATCAACAGGAGCAGATGGAATCCCAGCAGAAGCATTGGAAATGGACCCAGAGACAACAGCGGACTTGATGACACCACTACTGGATAAGGTGTGGAAAGAATGCAAAGTACCCGAGGATTGGAAGAAAGGTTACTTATTCAAACTACCAAAGAAAGGAGACCTAAGTCAATGCAAGAACTGGCGTGGCATTATGCTCCTGTCTATCCCAAGCAAAATACTAAGCGGCATCATATTGGAGAGAATCAAACATGTCCTGGATGAAAAACTTCGACTGGAACAGGCTGGATTCAGGAGAAACAAGTCATGCATTGATCAGACCGCCACATTACGGATCATCATTGAACAAAGCCTGGAATGACAGTCACCTCTCTATCTCAACTTCATCGACTTTGAAAAGGCCTTCAATAGCGCAGCGTCGATCGAGAGGTGATTTGGAAACTACTTCGCTACTACCGGGTGCCACCGACAATTATACATCTCATCCAACAGTTGTACGACAATGCTGCATGTTAAGTAATCCACAACGGGAAACTTACTGAATCCTTCGAAGTGGGGACAGGAGTGAGACAAGCTTGCTGTCTACTATCGCCAATGATTTTCCTGATTGCAGTAGATTGTATAATGCGACAAACAGCGGTCAATGAGGAAACAGGCACAAAATGGACCCTCACAACAAACTTGGAGGATCTGGACTTCACCGATGATATATGTCTGATTTCCCACAAACTGGAAGATATGCAAGCAAAAAGCAACAAGTTGGCAGAAGAACCATCATAGATAGGAGGGACTTCAGGTGAACATAGAGAAAAAAGAGGTAGTGCAGATTCCTGGACAAGAACAACAACAACAGACAACGATCAGCATAAATGGGAGGAACCTGAAAGAAACAACCTCCTTCACCTACCTGGGAAGCATCGTCTTAACTACAGGCGGGCGGAACTGACGAGGATATCAAAGCAAGAATCGGAAAAGCAAGACAAGCTTTCACTACTCTCAAGTCTGTGTGGAGGTCAACAGCACTACTCAGCATGAAAAATATGATGCGGATTTTCAACTCCAATGTGAAGTCAGTGCTACTATACGGATCAGAGACTTGCACTGTGCGTCATAAAGAGCATCTCAAACAAACTACAGACCTTCATTAACAGCTAGTTGTCCTCGCCCAATACTCAAGATCAGATGGCCAGAAAAGATAAGCAACAGGGTCCTCTGGGGGGGGGGAACCAACCAGGAACCGATTATGAAACAAATAGGCAGGAAGAAATGGAGATGGATTGGTTACACTCTGAGAAAACCATCAAGTGACATCACTAGACAAGCCATTGCTCCAGTGCAACCCTAACGGAAAGCGGCGGGTTGGTCGTCCAAGTGTGACTTGGAGGAGGTCATGTGAAGAGGAGATGAAAACGTGTGGGCAGACCTGGAGCCAGGTGAAGATTCTAGCAGAGGACCGAACGCAATGGAGACGCACGGCTGAATCCATATGTTCCTCTAGGTATTAAAGGAAACAATAATAATAAAAACCGGCGCGTAATAATGCTCTTGTCCAAACCAGGTAGAATATGAGATAATGATTAATAATAATTTAATAATTATAATTTGCTTTATTCCAGAAACAGTGCTAGTGGTACAGTGTGGAATTTCCAGGCCATATCTACAATATTTGCATCTAATTTTTATCCAACGTTTAAAAGGAATATTTTCAAAAAAGATAAATATAAAGACAGCAACAGCAAAAATAATAAACACAATAAAACAAAATAATTTTAAAAAATGCGAGAAGATGCAAAAAAGTAATAGGGAAAATAGACAACATAAAGTAATATCCCATTATTGGGTAGTGGAAGCTATGATATGATTATGCATGGTGACAGTAAAGCTATAGTCATACAAGAAGTTATGAAATGATATTTAAGAATGTTTATCTCCAAGATGGTCAGTTAATTTGGTTGAATTAACACTAAACAATCATAAAATAACATTTCAGGGTTGTTGTTTTGTTTTTTATTGTCAGGTCTAATGCAGTGTTTGTAGTGGTAGTGTGAGTAATCCTGCATAATACAAAATTTTAGGTGGTGACAATGGCGTTCACAACCAATGATTGTCAGTTAATATTGCCGAAAAAAATATAAAAAAATAAGAAAACAAACAACCACAAAACTAATAATTACATGATGGTTAATGACAGGACAATTTTGTAATACTCATAATGCTAATAGAGTCGGAACCAGTAGATACACAAAAGAAGGAATACAGCAAAGTACGAAAAGTAAGCCACTGTTAATAATTAAGGTAGCTAAGTATGTTTAAGAAGCAGTTAACTATAGAATACAAAATAAGAGAGACCAGCTGGAAAGAATAAAATATGCTGTGAATGAAGAACTCCACCCTTGGGTTATACTCGATGGCGAAACGAACATCTTCCCTATTTTAACAGCCTTATACCGACAGCAGGTGGACAATGTGAGTTTCAGACTTCGAATTGAAGGAAGTGTTTGTACTAACAATGAGACAATAGCTGTATTGGTTTCTGTACATTTACTGTGAATGGGGTTTACTGAGTGTCAGCAAAGAGATTCGTATAGACAACCGACATTTGATGACGGAGGAATTACCACCGTTTTTGGTCAGTAAACTGAAATCACAAAATAGTCAGAGGCGTTTACGGTTAATTCAGGTAATTCGATGCATTGTGCAATAAAAGTTGTGCTGATTCATCCATTGAAGTGACTCTCTGAAATACACAAAATAATACATTTCGAACGCGAATGTAAACACATCCGAAACGAAACTAACCACATGTGACTTGTCACTTGTGTGATAGACCGCATGATGTGTGACCTCATGGCTCAGTCGGATAAGAGATTTTGAATGTGTCTGTGTGTGTGTGAGTGAGTGGGTGGTTCGTTGACCTTCAAGTAATCCCAAGAGAGTGTTAGAAAATCACGCACATTCATATTGTTGTTTCTGAGTGTGTGTGTGTGTGTGCATGTGTATTTGGTGAATATATTTTGTGATGGCGAGTTGGGTATAAAAGTGAGTGTTGATTTGAGTTAGTTGTGAGAGTAGAAGTTGACAGAGTGCAGTATTGCAGAATGCACATGCAACAGTGTGTCGTTTTACTCAGCCTACTTGCTGTCGTGAGCATCCACATGTGCAATGCACAAGGT